TAATCAGAAGTCTGCATTTTGACAAAATCCACCCATCAGCTGTTAAGAAAATAATACAGGATAATCTTTTGCCTTCTTAACTCTCAAATAGAAGGTGACATCTTGAAAAGCCATTCCTTGTCTCCTGTGATAGTAGCAATAACATATTCTTAAATCTGTTATAACTTTTCAAAAAGGTATGCTTTTCTGTTTTGAAAAATGAAGATGTTCACCAAAAATATCTTCGAATGTTAATTGTGTTTATTGTGTATTGTACAATTACCATAGACAGCAAGTGAACACATCTTTTCTATCAAAGTAGATGATAGGTAAGTGTTGCCCCACAAGGAAACAATGAAATTTGGATTCCTTCTTATGAATTATGATGGGTTTTATTTGATTTTGGGTGTCAGGAGATGTAAGTCAAAGCACCACCATCAGAAATAGGCATATCTGTTGCTCACGTTCTCCTAAAAGAAAATGAAAAGCCAGACATATTAATTCTTTATATTTTGCTGTGGCCTGTGCAGGTTTGTTAGAGTTAAATGCTGCAGAGTAAAATTATGTGTCATGGTTTGGAAATTAGGCAAAAAATAACTATTTTGAGTCTTATAGGTTATTTTGATCTTTATAACGTTAGACAAAATGATGTGCAGCTCTAAAGCAACAGCACATCAATGGTCATTGAATATACTGCTCTGTGTGGTGCAACCCTTGATGTACAAAGGTTAGAAGTACAAATTATCTTGCAGAGTTTTAAATATTAGGCCGTGCTTGGCAGATTCAGAAAGGAAGTTGATCCTTCATCAGCCATCTGTCTCTGAGGGTGAGGCCAAAACAAAAATGTTCCTAATTATATAGGAAGCTGATAGTAAAACTGCTGCTGAGTTGGGCTCTCAGTTGGTCCTCGTGAGAGAGTAGATCTGGGCCAAAAACTCCTCAGAGTGGATGTGCTCCTGCCCTTTGTCCTGGGGATGGCAAATGACAGCAGGATTCTTGGATTACCAGGTGAAAGAAAAAAGTCTTCCAGACACCAGAAATGACACCAGTGATGTGCAGGAAGAGGACAAGGCAGGGATGCACCAGGAGTGTGCGTACATAGGGGGAAATACAGGTGAGATGCTCAGGAGAGCTAGCTGGTCTCTTCTGACTGATCTTATGCTCTTCAGCAGCAGTTGGAGCATGTGATGCATCTTGACTTGCAGTTTATATAACCTCATGTAAAGTTTTAAATATAGTTTATATATGTGTGTTTTATACATGTAGTTTATATAGTCTGTGTATAGTTTGTATGTAGCACATAGGTTGTGCGATGCTTTGCTTTTTTTTGTCTGCAGGAAATTACAAAACCTATATGGCAGTTTTCATGACGTTCCCTGTCTAACGTGGTAGTATATTACAATCTTCTTTTAATTTAAAAATATATGAAGTTGTAAAATGAATGTTAAGGTGTAGATCTATGTAGTTAAGGAACCCAAACAACTTTAGTCGTGTCCTAGAGTGCCATCATATGATGATTGTTCTTTTCTTCCACTTAGTCATTTGGTGTGCTGAGAGGATGCATGCTGGACGGAAATCTAAACTACTACAGTTGCCTTTTCAGTTGTTGCAACTGCAATGTAAAACAAAGTAATTTACCTAATCGTTGTCATAAACTGACATGTTTTAGTTCTGGTTTGGGAAACTGGTAGGAACATACACATAGTTTGTTACTGTAGTTCGACTAATGACTGAAAACTTACTCGGTCTTCTCTTCTTGCTGGCTAGGCAGGTCTTCCTTATTCCAGGTGAAGATTGTCAGAGTACAGAAATGAAGTACAAAACTGAATGCAAAGGAAATGTTTCCTCTTATGACCTATGAATTTTAAGTAAAGAGTTATTTTTTGTGAAATGCCGAGTCTTAACCCTCACTTCATCGTGTCAGACTATATACATAACCAGAAAGGTACAGAATAACCACCACTGGTTTTTGATGAGTTTAGAGTGTCTCTAAGTGTGACTTAAATAATATTTAGTTATTTAACTATCAAAATACAATGAGGTTTTTTTAAGAAAAACCAAAGTAAAATGTAGCAAACTTATTGCTTCAAATAAAAGTAACTTACCATTGACACACATCCATTAACGGAAGAGTATAGATGCTCCTCAGCATATTGATTTTACAATGGTCAATGTAAACTGGGAAGGATATCTTTTGACCTCATTCCAACCTCAGCCGTTAGGTTTCAGCTTCTGTTTTCTCTGAGAAAAATTATGTAATATAGTTCCTTTTGAAAGTTGTTTGGGATGACTTACACTCCCACATTTTTTGTTCATCAAAATACTTTATTTCCTTAATGGAAAGGCTATGAAGATATTTTCTTCCAGCGTGGGATCAACTATAAGCTGCATAGAAAACTAGCATCAATTTACTTGTCATTTTTTTGCACTTCTTTTGTAATGAATTTTTCGTAGTATATAACTGAGCACCTAATTCTACTGTGTTGTTTTGCTTGCATGCTGGTTCTTTTCAGGTACTGTAGCCAGTTTAAAGTTTTCAGACGCAAGTGGCACATCTTGTGTCTGCTCTCAAGAGAAGCCACAGCTGCCCTGTGCTTCAAATTCTCTTGCAGCCACTTGGGATTATTACTCCTCCACCCGAGAAATCTCTGGAGTGAGGAAGTCTCGAGTGGACAGAGTGATATATCCTCTGCCTAACTTACAGTGATATTGCGTGGCCTCAAGGCAGCATCTGCGTTCCCAGAATGTGTAGCGTAAGAAGTGCACTTTGGCTGAGCTGGTTTTGAGGCAGTAGGGGCCACTGTCACATTAGGGGAAGGTTTTGGACAGTGCTTGTGGCAGGGATGAACTCTGTCATTTTTTGGAAGTTGTGAGGAAAGGGAAATAAGTAGAAGGGACTTTGGCAATGGTCCCGGACAGGTTGAGGAAGAGAATTAACCACATGAATGATTAATGATGGCAAAGCTCATTCAGCTTGAAAAGTACTTTCTATAAGTGCTAAGTGCTGGCATTAAAAATGTATGCATTTTCATTTTAATCCACACTTGGCATCTGCAAATGGAGGATAAAGGGAAGAGCCAACAGTGTCATTATGGCAACACTAATACCTCCCTACAGCTGAAATTGCAGTTTGCAGAGGTGTGTGACCTAGGATCTGATTTCTTGCAAAGCTCAGCCTGCTGTGGTTGCTGACAGTGGTTCTCTTGAACTGCTCCACCACCTGCCCTGCAGAGCTCTAAGCAAAGGCTTGGAAACCTTCTGCAAGTCAAACAGTCTACTAAGTGAACAGTTGTCTTCATTAAATCCCTACTGATAAAGAGGAAGACATAGATGATAACCTATCACATGTGGATTTTTTTCAGAATGTAAAACTTTTAAAGATATCAGTTATCCAGTCTCTGTTTTTCTTTTCCAGAAAATAGGCCTGTTGTTTCTGTTGAGTGGGAGACACAGGGAAGGGGCATCTGACAGAAATGATTTGTTGTGTTGTCGAGGTGGTGGCATGTTGCTGCCAGAAAAGCTGTGTACCAGAGCAGCAGAAATTATGTGGGCAGGAAGTGAAGTTTATGCTGCCATCAAGCTGTGAGAGATAAAATCTAAAATAAAATGTTAGTATAGATGATAGGGTCTCTGAAAGGAGCAGAACAGGCATATTGAGAGGCAGAACAGAGAGAGAAGAGGATGAATGAGCGGACTCGAAGTCTGGACGTTAACAGCTACAAGCCACATGCAAAGAGTTAGGCTGGAAATGTGCTCGTTGATGGGCCTGTTTGATGGTGTGGCTGGAAGGAAGAAGCGGCTTTGTGCTCTGACCAGCTAGGCATACGGGACTCAGCAAGGTCAATGCAGCCCTTTGCCTTTCCAGGCTGATGGAAATAGTACTTGAAGTCCCTGTTTTGACAGCTTGCTGCAGAGCATGTAATCCTTCTCACCTCCCACCCAGCTGTATGCTGAGCTTGTTTTCCGTCTTCATTTCACTTTGCTTTTGGTCCAGCCTTACTCTTTATTCACATATCTGGTAACAGAGAGCTAGGGACCTACTTTCTGTGGTTGTCTCCAGTTTACCACTGCCAGCTGGGCTCACAAGCAGGTTGAGAACACCACAGGGTGACCCATCTGCTGGAAAGCAGACCCTCATTTGCTCTTTCTGTGTAGCATCAGACTGGTAGAAGTTGCATGGTATCTGCAGAGGGAAGGATATCTCATCCTATGTGGTACCTCTCACCTTGATGTGGAAGTTTGGAGGTGGAAGGGGGGGTGGTTGCACTTCAAGAATAACAAGGTTTGGTCTTAATTTGTCTTTAGTCTAAAATGTCTACCTTTCTTCTCGGTTTTGTTCATGGTCATGCTGTGCACTACTGTGTTAGATGCTACGTTTTTAGTTATGACTTGAGTGAAATGCTGGGTTGCTAGGGGAGAAAAGTATTACTATTACCAATATTTATTATTCGGTACCCATGGAAACTGTAGTTCTTCTGGGAGTCCTAGTTCTCATGTTTTTTCTTCCTATGGAAAAGATATATTTTTAACCATGGAGTTCAGATAATTATTTTCTAGAAATAGAAGGCAAGATATACCACTCCCTTTTGCTCTCTGGTATGCTTGACAGATGTCTGTCTATGGCAAGTTGCTGCTTACTAAGCTGTGTTGTGGTTTTCAGTCACATAAAGATTTTTGGAGTGTGGTTAATCTGATTTTGTCTTGATGGTATTTTATTACGTTTGTTCGCTCCTAGCTCCCTGTTTGATTTGTCCTTTTCCCCATTGTTGTTGTTTTTTAATTTGCTGTGTATTTTAGGTTGAGGAAGAGTTACTTGATAGAGAAATGAAATTCCTGTTTTCAATTTAAAGGTATAACTGTGGCAAAAACTGTGAGCATGGCCCATGGTTGTAAAGGGGATGCAGTAGTATCTGTTTTTTTAAAGAGGTTTGAGTTCTTCCGGTTTTGAGAGGAAAGCTGTTAAAATACTGAGTGCTTTGTTATTGATGGGATAGTTAACTCAGTTGTTGGCTCTCTTGCAGTGCCTAAAACAGTATGTGGAACTTTTGATCAAAGAAGGTCTAGAAACAGCGATCAGCTGTCCTGATGCTGCCTGCCCCAAGCGAGGTCATCTGCAAGAAAATGAGGTACATTTCTACTTGCAAATAGATTTTCTTTTTTTTTTTTCTGTGTAGGATGTTTAAATGTGTCTTGCTCTGTATATTGCAGCTGCCATTGTTGCTAACATATGCTTTTAATACCTCTCTAAATGTCAAATATTTTTATCTCCATTTGTTAGAAATGCCTTAGATGGTGGTTGTTCCTAATTGGAAATTTGTCTTTTCCTTTTCCTTCCTTCAACAGATTGAGTGCATGGTTGCGTCAGAAATCATGCAAAGGTATAAGAAGCTACAATTTGAAAGAGGTAACACATGTGACACTACCTATTGCAAGGCTGTGGGAATGGTATCACTCCTAAGCGATCCCATAAATCAGAGTCTGGCTGAGCACATGTTCATGCAGTAGCATTATGCGTTAGTTATTTCGTCGTCACACACTCCCCCCCAAGCTCCACAAAAATCAACCCCAAACCAGTGTTTCTGTTCTTGCCTGAGTGATTCCCAGAATTGCAACATTCTGGGAATAACCTAAGGAAGGAAAATTACTATGTATTATATTGTTCTATAACTAAGGGAGGGAGTGACTTCTATTTAGAGCTTTGCTGTTTGAGTTGACTAACAGTATTCTAGAGGCTGGGGATGTAGACTGACCCCTTTTGTGGAGCCACCATGATCACTTAAGATGGCTTCTGGTGCAGAATTATTAGGCAGTTCTGTGTGTAGTGGTAGCATGAACCTTGTTAATTTTCATAAGGATGTAAGCTGACTGGGGGCCTATGGAGATGTGGAATTGTGTGGCCATAGAGAACTTATATCAAGGTTTTGCTGAAAGCAGAACCCAGCCTAGAAACCACTGAAGTAATTGGTAGGTTTTTATTGACTTCAGTGGGCTTTGAAACATGAAATAACTTACCAGTAAGCAGCCTCCAAGAAAGGGATGAAACTGTATAACTGTCTTATGCTATTTTTAATCACATGGTTACATTAGGGCACAGACCAACTTGAAATAGAGTCCTGGTGGGCAAGGCACTGTAAAAACACTTTTGTTGTGTTATACCTGCATAGGATATGCTCTATTTAACTTCAAGTACAACTGAAGAAAAATACCACATCTCATTCTCAGAAAAAGTTTAGTTCAGTGAACGAAAGTGAGCAATTAATTCAAACTCTGGAAACTCACTTCAGTTTGGTGCCTCTTTGCAAAGCAGGCCAGATTTATGTCTAAGTGGGTAGCAAATTAAAAGGCTTTTATTGAAAATGTGTGTCTTCAAATGCCTTGCCAGTCAACCTCAGGTGGAATACATTGTTATGGAATGATGATCTTGTAACTGCTGTTGAATTTTGTTCTTTTATGTCACTTTGCAGAAGTGCTTTTGGATCCGTGTCGGACTTGGTGTCCATCCTCCACTTGCCAGGCTGTTTGCCAGCTCCAGGAATCAAGCCCACAGGACCCCCAGCTGGTCCAGTGCAAAGCCTGTGACATTGAGTTCTGCTCTGCTTGCAAATCTAATTGGCATCCCGGTCAAGGCTGTCAAGAGAACATGCCAATGTCTTTTCTTCCAGGAGAAACGAGGTGAAGTATTGCAAAAGATACAGTATTTAGAAACAAAACACTCAATCTTTGAACAAACTGGAGTATGAATAGTAAAGAGGCATTTTCCTGATGTTTTGTTTTAAAGTGGTTTCCTTCAGTTGGTCCTTCCTGTTCTTTTAATGCTGTAATCTAAAACTGGATATCTCCTGGCAGTCTCACTCCTTGCCATCATTCCCAGCAAAGCACATAGGAGCCTCCATCAGCTGCCCTTTTGCCCCAGTGGGAAAAAATATGATATCCAGGCAGCTCATGAGCTTCTCTTCAGAGAAGATCTTGTTGCTGCTGCTATTCTGGACAGCATGAGGGTTGGTAACATTATGCCAGAGAGTGATTTTTAGGATGCTCTGTCAATCATCCTAACTGCTGCACATTTGGCCAATGATCTTAAGTTCTGTTTCAAGCTGTTTCAGGTGGCATACTGCAGCCAGTGAATAAGAAAGGCCGTTGTGCATGTGTTCCACTTAACGTTTGGGCCTTTTCAAAGATTGTATGGCGTTCAAGATATCATTAAAGCCCTGGCCAACCTTGGACTTAGCTATTCATAACTTCTATTCTTTCAAGCTTTGCTGTAACAGATGACTAGCTAGGATGCTGTCATCTTGAGTTCCTGGTCAAATGCAGTAACTTGTGCACATGCTTTTTGTGTGTGCTTGACCAGAACTGAAGCTCACTAAACTTCATGGCAAGGTAAAAAACTTTATCTGTTTCCCTTAGTGGTTTGGTTGCTTTTCGTTTTTATTTCATGCTTAATTTTTAACTCCATTGTTTGTTTCATCATTACTTTGACGCATTGTTACTTCATCGTAACTTGACGCATAATGTGCCAGTAGCAGCTTGTGGTACCATGTGTTTAGAGTTTCATATACAGTTTATGGATTCAAAACATTTTTCTGTAATATGGTTGCCCCTTATGTGAGTAACGAGTTTGTGTCCTTTTATCCTGGGCAAATCAATCAATCAGTCGGAGGTCGGTCCTCTTTTCCAGCAAGCTGTTGATTCCTTATCAGTCATTCTTGTACCTCCCACTGGCAGTGGCTGCAGGAGATGTTATCTGTTAAAGTACATCTTAGTTGTTACTGTGCGTGAAGCCTACATATGGTAGAAAGGTCTTCAAGGGTATAAATGTTCTTCCAGTGTTCCCATGTTCTTCTGTATTGTGCCCACTATATGAAGGGACAGTCGTGCAAGACAAGAAGAGGTGGTGCTGACCCTAACTCGTGAGCAGTGACTCGTTAGGACAGTGTTAGAGACAAAGAGATCAGCTCTGAAAGGACGGCATGCTCCCAAAACTTTGTGGTTCCTGATTTGGAGGGAAATTCCTAGGGAGGGTCCTCAAGGAGGGCAGAGACATGCAATCTCTCCCTTTTGCCCCAGTCTGAAGGACTGTGGTCTGGGCTTGTTGTGCCATCAAGGAATTGCTTCCTCTTCTCTTCTGAGAAAGAAGAAGGGAGGAAGAAGGAAAATTATCTAGACATACAAAGCATTTGTGTGAACTAGCAGGTGCTCATCTGATATATTCCAGGAGAAAACTGTATAATATCTATTAGTATCTCTAGGTAACAAAAGCAGTTGGTAAAACATGTGGTAAAGAAAATGTCCTGACTCTTCTGTAGGCACTGTAGTAATTAAGCACTTATTTCTAGAGATATGTTTGAAAAATAGTTTTCTATTATATATCTGAATAATAAAATACAGTTGAATATCTGTTTCTCTAGTAATTTCACTTTTTTTTTTAATTTAAAAATAGGCTTACCTTCTTAGCCCAGTTCTTAGATGTTCTTCTCTAAACTGACATGCCTGCACATCTTATTAATTCTTCACTCTCTCCTACAGTTCAGTTTTTAAAATGGAAGAAGATGATGCTCCAATCAAACGCTGTCCAAAGTGTAAAGTTTACATTGAACGAGATGAAGGCTGTGCCCAAATGATGTGTAAGAACTGCAAACATGCCTTTTGCTGGTACTGTCTGGAATCTCTTGATGTGAGTACGTGCCATGCGGTCTGGTTCTCAGAAGCTTAGAAGTTCATTGATTTGCCATCCATCTGTCTCTTTGATCAATTAAATAGTAGCTCACTAACTTTTGCCCAGCTTGGTGGACCGCAACCCACCAGAGGTGACACAGTTAGTTTGATAGAATTTCTATGCTCTGTTTTACTTGTCTGACTTGCGTGATCATAGCATTTTGCCTGTGAGTCAGTAAATAATTATTAAAAAGAAAAATCTTATGAAAATATTCTGTTTCCAATCTTTACATGGCAACTAACATAGGGGAGGGGTGTTGCTTTTTTTTTTTTTTTTTGTAATAGAACTTAATTTAGTAACGACTTTTCAATGTTCCCCTGCTTGAAGGAGTTACAGGATGAGTATAGCAATGTTCTTAGTCTGTGGAAGTTTAACAGACAAACTCTGGATTTGGTGCATTGCCATGCAGGAGACTAGCAGTCAGATTTGTTTACCATTCATTGTATTCTGTGGGACAAGAAATAGATCTGACATATGAAAAAGAATACAATGTTCTCCTAATACCAGGAATTTGTCAGTCTATAAGCTGCTGCTGTCATATGTTTATGTTTTTTTAAAAATCAGCCTGTTATCATGCACAAAGATCAGAGTATATGCAATATACAACATCTGTTTCCATGTCATCTGTTTTATTTTATGGCATTGTTAACAATAGCAAAGGAAATGTTTTAGGTTCTTGAAAGCTACTCTGACGATTCAAATCCTGTGGTTGTCCCATTTGAATTCTTTACTAACAGTCCTTAAGTCACAGGCTTGTCAAGGGCTCAGTTAAAATACAGTGTTCCCTTGGTACTAGGCCTGCTATCTTGGCTGATTTGAAAAGGATGGCGGGACAGATAGGGACATGATTTTTCAAAAATCTCTATTGTCATTTTATTCTTCAACTAGTAAAAGGATCCAGCTTTGGGAAGTCTGCAGTACAAGTATTCATTTTCCTATGCTCTTTCTGCATGTGTATAAAATATATGCAATGAGCAGCTTTATCTTCTTGGATCCTCTTGCTAAATTCCATAGTACCGTTTAAATATGCAGCTTGAGAGCCTTTGGGAGAAGAATTCCTTGTAGATAGATAACACTTGCTAAACAAACTTGTTTGTGAAGATGCCTAACTGTAAAAAAAGCACTTAGGAAAGTTTGGACCTGGCCATATCCACTTTACTAACCTTTCATTTTCCTGTACAATTCCTGGTTATAAGTTCTCAGGAAATAGTATTTTATACCTTGAAGAACAGTTTGTACTTCTGTTTATTGCCTACCTTTTCATTTAATATTTTGTAGGATGATTTTCTCCTTATACATTACGACAAAGGGCCTTGTCGGAACAAGCTGGGACACTCCAGGGCATCTGTTATCTGGCACAGAACACAGGTAAAGCTCACATCTTTAGAAGCTCTGTACAGGTCTACTGCTGTCATAGTGCCTTCCTTTGCTTTCTTTTAACACCTTAAGGTAAAATTCTTTGCCAAATGGTAACTGATTTTCATAGCAGATTTAAAGAGGGCAGTAGCTTAGGGTGGAACAGTTACCTCTCCCGGAAAGAACACTCCTTGGCCGAAAGCCACTGGGAAGGGTACATTTGCAGAGCCAGGTAAGTGCCAGTCCAGATATGTTCTCTGTAAACCTGGAGGACAAACCAGGTTGCTATCATCCATATTACTAGCAGGGAAGGTCATCCTGCAAGGGGTCTTTAGCTCCAGATCCAGAACTGGAAAGGAATTAGCCTGAGTATGCTCAGTATCTCGCTAGGGACTCCAGTTGACTCATTCATGTAGCTTGGATAGAAGGTAACCCAGGGAGCTTAGCAGTAGTTTCAAACACAGATTCAAATTGACAATTACAAAGAGTGTGAGATTACCTCTGGTAGTCTAGATCAAGTCTTGCTGGACCCAGCATACATGCTGGTAATGAAAGAGCTCACTGCACTGCTTTGATGCATACAATATAAATGTCATTGCGTGACTTGGTACAATCTACTGCCTTTACAGTCACTTCAGAGATAGAGGGACATCTGGGTATCTGAGTCATCTCTTCCTAATTAACTGTGTACCAGTAAAGAGCTACCTTAACTTGCGATAAAGTGCTTTTCTTGAAGTACAGATTACTTTCCATTTGAGCATAAACCCCAAGTCTAGAGAATAAACTCCAAGTCTGGACAAACAACTAAACTGAAATAAAAGGAGTAGGATTGCAGCCCTCTCCCTCTACATACACCCCTGGGTGCCTGAGCTATGGACTGGGTTTGCTTGGCTTAGCCAAGGGTATCTTAGGAAGTGTGTGGGTATGTAAGCTTTCTTGATACACTTGTAATATGAGGTGATAAATCTGATATTTGGAATCCGTTCTTAGCCACAGCAGTTAGTGCAAATATGTTTGACAGACAGTGTTTGATGTTCTGGTCATTGTTGAGAAAGAAAGTGATAATTCTCTGCTAATCAGGATATAACTCTGCTAAACTCACTAAAGACAAATCACCATTGCAATTGTTTCCTTATGTTAAGTTCCTTTGAGTATTTATCCAAGGCAAACTGAGGTGAGCCTTTGGCTTGTTGTTTGTGGATAAAAAAAAAAAAATATTTGTCTTGGCCAGAGAGAATGGCTTGATGCTGAGTAGGTCAGCAACTTCTTCAGAAGCAAGTAGAAAATGAGTAAGTAATACTCAGCAGGCAGTTTTGTTTAAAATAACAAGCAAACAAACAAAATCCCACAAAAAAACCCCAAATAAACAAAAAGCCACCACACCAAACAAAATTAAATTTAGTGAATTTTTTGATGGCATATTGAGGCTGAAAGGAAGTTGTAAGTAGATATCTCATAAAAATTACCAGCAATCAGTCTGGTCCACTGAACTGCTAACTTCCAGCTTGGCTGTGTCTGACCAGCATTCTCTTAACCTGGGCTGCAAAGAGCTAGGCAAGGGCATACCATCTCCAAAGAGCAGCACGGCAATAGTCGCAGCTCATGGTTTTTAAAGGAATTAATTAGAATTAGCTTTGGTTTGTGTCTGTAGTAAATACATGCAAAGATTACTAAACGGAAGTGACATTAGCTTGTCAGCACCTCCAATAAAAGAATGAGCAATGAAACGTGCATACCTCTGAAGCTGAAAAAGAAATTCCTCTTGGCAAGAAATAAAATTGTTAAGGCAAGGAAGCTGGAGCTCCTCATCCCTGGAGAGCCAAAGGCCCAGGCTGAAAGAATTGTGCGGAGCAGGAGGCAACCTGAGGGCGGTGGCGGCTGTCCCACAGCGCCATCTCCTGCAACCAGCCCTTCCTCTCAGCCCCCTGGAAAATCCCTGGAGAGTGAATTGCAGAAAAAAATACACAGTCATCAGAACGAGAAATTGTCCGTGGCCGACCAAAGTACTAGTAAATCATCCTGTCTATACCACAGCTAATTAAATATTTGCCAGCTAATTGAAGCAGCGTATCAAGCCCTAGCTAGAAGAGTTCGTAATGAGTACTGCTCTCTGGTTTTGTTTTGTCTTCTGTTGTCGGCTTTTGCTAGCAGATTAGCATTCTACTTGCCCTCATTATTCAAAATTATTCACAGACACTCTCATGTGAATAAATCTAAATTATTTTCTCAAATAATTTGTGGGCATATTGTTGCAGCATTACTCTTACAGTTGCCTATGGCAAATGGGAAACTTCCTCAGGCAATAAACCTCAACTTGAATGTTTTTTTAATACTTTTCCAAATTTATAGTCTGTAGAAACTTAATAGAGTTTGGCACACTGACAGGATGGGTAGGACTGTGGTCCTCTGCCCATGCTGGGAAGAGGGTGATCAATAAATGTAAATGAAAAACATGCTTTTAGATAGAGTTAGGTCATGTCCCCTGAAGCAGCAGGATGAGCTCAGGTCTGACTGCAAAAAAAACATTTGGCATATGCAAAGTCCTCTTATAGTTGATAGTGTTTGTGATCTGTGGCTGAGATTCCCAAGCTTGTCTTCCTGCTGGTGGGAGGTTTGTGGGAGTCTTCCCAGATTCTCCATGAACAATAGCAGAATCTTGATTGATTCTTTTTGGAGCTATCTCCAGCAAAAAGGGAGCACCTGTAAGTGGGAATCTATAACTCCCTTGTAGTCTTGATCCTGGTATTTAATATTTAGGTTGGATCAAGAAAAAAGTATCTATTCAGTTGCTTCATTAGTTGTTGGAGATATATCAAAACTCAAAAAGGCAAATAACCATCTGCATCACTTTGTGTGAAGGAATTGAATTGTGAGGCGTGGTTCTGACTGGAGGAATGAACCGTGAATGTTTGCTCTCTGATTTCGCTCATGTTTACTGATCTCAGGAGCTGACTGTAGCGTACACTTGCGGGGGAAGTCCTAGCTAAGGTCAGTGGCATTTGCTGAGATCCTTTTGAATGACACTGATGATGCACTGGAGTCAGCAGAATCTAGACAATTGTTATCCCTAATGCAATGCTATTCCTTTCTCTTGCAGGTGGTAGGAATTTTTGCAGGATTTGGTCTTCTACTTTTGGTGGCCTCTCCTTTCCTTCTACTTGCTACACCATTTGTTCTGTGCTGCAAGTGCAAATGTAATAAAGGAGATGATGACCCTCTACCTACCTAGACTTAGAGAAGATTGGACTCATCACAACATGTGTTTTGATTTTATTGTTGCTGTTGATGTTTCCCTCTTGCACTTACATTGCTGTAGCCTTACTTGCCCTGTTCTGCTTTTCATTGACACGCAGTCTTGGTTCCAGGAACTGTTGTTACTACTGTTGCATAGATCTGTTCATAATAGACAAGGAGGGTAATGGAAGGCAAGTTTGGTGCTAAAGGGAGACTGTGGACCCAGGTAGCTATTTGAAATGAAGAGGTGACACTGCTAAACATAATGCAAAAAAATTTCTGTTGCCCCACTGGTGGACTGGGAACTGTGCTGAATGACATCAGCAAAACAAGCTGAAAATGCATACAAAGCTAAACTTTCTGCATATCTGTTCACTTCAAAATTTGGTGTCTTATTCCTGTATATATTTAAGTTGCCTATTGTTTAAATCAGATAGTCAACGTAGTGTGACTTTACTGTGTTTATTACATGTCTGTTTTTGTTAAAGCCATCACAACATCCTTTTTAGTACTTGTTTCTCCAAGTATAACAAAATCAATAAGGTGCATATAGGCCATCCTATGCCTTTCGTGAAATTTGGGGAGGGTTAGATGGACAAGTTAGTCCTGCTGCCTTCCAGGAATTTTTTGAAGTCTTGTAAGAAATACATTTGATTGAAAGCTACATTTTAAAAATTAGTTGATGAAGCTGTAAGGTTGAGTGGTGACACAAACCTGCTATCTAATCAAGGTTCTTTTAAAAATGCATTGATGGTATTGATTACCACTGAACCACTAGTGTTTTTCTGAATTGTTATTTTTTGCTGTTGTTTAGGGTTCTGCTACACTTACAGGGCTATGTAACCTCTAATCCAGGTATCTTAATCTTTTTATATAGACATATATATATATAAAAAATCCTATTTAAACCAAATGTGTAAATAGCTGTGCTATTGAAATATTTTGGAAGTTCAAGATAGCTTGCTTCTGTCTTTAGGCAATTATTAAAAGATACAGGACTAACTTTACTATTTAGCAGACTCTTGGGCTATCGGTGAATCTTCCCTTTAAAGTATAAAAATACATCAGGGTTATCCTTATAGTTAATAATAAAAATGCCTGGGATATTGGTGGAAGTTGTACTTTATGTTTAAACTACTTAGCCCATTTTCAGAGTTAATATCGTCTGATATATGGTATATGCTGTTAGCAACAATACTGTGATGAAACAAGTTTTTATTTGAAAAATAATCACTTGACTTGATTTGACAGTTTTGCAGAATTCACAGTGCTGTGTTTCCAGGGTAGTAAAGTGTGCTAGTCAATGTACTATGAATCATTGTAGTTTCTCTTTAGAAATATTTTGTTGAAAACATTTTGCTCTGATTTTAAAGCCTACAAGAATCTGACTAACAATTCCTTGCCATGAAATATGAAGCACCTGAAACAATGTGTATGTCTGTGTGTAGTACTGAAGGAAAACATTATTTTAAATGGCTTGTGGACTGAAATTCGACTGTGGTTTTTCCATCATCATTTATTTCTGTGCGTTATCAACGTACTGAGATGGATTAGTATGTTGAAGCCAGGATAATGTTGCACTGAAAATGTATTAAGACCCTTAAATGCAACTGCTTCGGGCTGCTGTTACAGGCAGGGAATATGTTTTTATAGCTCAAGCATAAGGAAATTACTCCTTTCTTTATTATCTTTCATTTTATACTTTCTGTCTGCTAAATAAAAAGACTGTGGGGTACAATTTTGAAAAGGGCCACTGTCTTTTTATAAAACTAATCTTGAGTTTCTTCTCCTCCCCCTTCTTTTTAGTTTAATGGTATCCAAATTCAAACTGTATCTAACCACAGATTTTAGCTCCAGAAACTGAAGGTTATCTGCAGTTCGCTTATTTGGCTTTATTTTAATGAGTTCAGCCATTATAACAAAGAAAAAGGATAGCTGGTTGCAAATCTGAACTCCTTGTGATCACTTCAGATTGTTTGTGACAATGCACAGTTCAGATCTTTACTCATAAGATCTGTTTTTGTTATCACACTATTTTTAGTATTTAAGCTATCTTTCTTATTAAAAATTGCTTAGATGTTAAAAAATATCTGTAGGGACGTCTGGACAGTGTGTTTGCTCGTTGTTTCCCAGCCCCTGAGGGGTGTGTGAAGCACCGCCGAATTCAGCGGGGTGGTTATCTCCCTCTGGCTCTGGCAGCAGCTCAGTCCATCACCCCAGAGGTACCCTAACCTGGGCACCTGGGGTTGTCCCAAGTCATAGTGTCACTGTGGAGACGTAATGGAAACCCTTCTGTGAAGGACAGCTTCCTGCAGGTAAGCTTGAACTGTGTCCTTTCATCCTTGTCCCTGTAATTCCATTTAACTGGAAAAAAAAACAACCAACCAACCAAACAAAAAAAACTGGACAAAAGGACATGAACATTTCCTGGGCTGGTAATCTTCTAATTGGGAGCATGGAGGGATTTTGCTGTATGTGGCAGTGGGTCTAATACCCAATTCTGCTACCGGGATGATAAGAAACAGCAGAGGTGCAGTGGCCTGTTAACAGTACCTGGAGTGTCCTGGTATGAGGTTTATTTTTTCTGTGCCTTTCCTACAGACGGCCTTTATGTGGCAAGATAGTGAAACTTGAGTTTTCCATGGTACTGTGTGGCCAGTTAATAATCAATGTCAAAATTGATGCATTTCCAAATTAAAAAAAAAAAAAAGGAAAACAAGTCCTTTGCAAATACAGACATTTTAATGTGTTAGTTTATAATTGATGCTCACGGGTAACAATATATATAATCAGAAAACCATGTACTTCTATCAGTATATCTCTGTCTCCGATCTCAACATACTTGAATTGCTACTGGAGATTTTTCTGACATATCTCTTGTTTCACATCCTGGCTGTTAGGATAGACTATATGCCTACATATATTTACCAAATATCTAATCCTTTCAGGTTTGCTAAATGTCATTCCATCTGTATTCTTCTCGGGGATTTTTTGGTTTCGTGGGTTTTTTTTTTATTTCTTTAGTGCTGTTTTGTTTCCAAAGTAGCAACTTCTAGTGGTGATGTATTGAGTTTGGGGCATTTTTATGTTACAGCTTATGTTGATAGTGTGACATTTAATACCCTGAAACTAAACGGTAAATACATTATTTTAAACTCTGACATTTAAACTCCCTGCCATGGGAAAGCAAATGTTTGTGTCTTCATTTTCAGATGAAATTCTGTTACAACAGCTTTGGCTTTATATATTTTCTGTTGCATTTTTATGGTTATGCTATTATTTAGGGTTTTTGCATTGTCTTAAATGCTGTTTTTAATGGAGTTTTTAACAGTACATCGTTTGCATGTTCTGTTGGGCTGAAGCGGTGTCCTGTCTAGCAATCATGGGACTGAGCGTGGAGTCCAGACTCCAGAGGCTTTGCGTCTCCCTAGACTTGCCATTTGTTAGTTGGGCTAAAGTCAGTCCTGAGAGAGATCAGCAGCATAGCCTGCACCGACTTCAATGGCGGTAGCACTGGGTTTTCCCCATGTGACACTGCACAAGTCACTTATCTCCTTTTATCTCAATTTAACCATCTTTTAAATGGATGGCTCAATGTTTACCTACTTCACAGGAGGTCTGTGAGGGCAAATTCATTGGTTTTGAGGCTCTTCAAGATTCTGTGATGACAGATTATATATAAATGCTTACTGTAGTTTTATGTTGATATCTCAATTTTATTCATGTTGGCGTTCATCCTGAAACCTCCTACTACTGAATTTAGCATGCCAAGAACTTGGGATGCTTTCCCTCGCATACCAAGGAGCATGATCTTTCCTCAAATACTCCAGTTTATGAATTAGGCAAAATCCCAAATAAGAGCTGACTAGATCAACTCTCAGCTTACAGTGGATCTCCTGACATGCAGGGAACACAATCTAAATCAGTGAAAAGCTCTTGTGTTTATGGAGCTGACAGGTGAAAATATTCATAGATCAGAAAAAGATGAAGTGCTTTTGATTTAAAATCATTATGGGCACGAAAAATAAAAATGAAGTTTTGTGCATTTCCTCTGTAGACCTTTTACTGTATAGGAATGAATATATTTAATACAGGCCATTCTCATCCCAGTGAGATGCAGCATGCATAAAGCTTTGTGCAGGTTTGCTTTTTTAAAACCAAACTTTGTACATTTCACATACATAATCTAAAATCCTGAGTAAAACAGATAGAATGCATTTTTTGATGATGGTGATATTAAAGACATCAAAAAAGCCTGCATCAGTGCTTAATTGCTAATGCACTTATACTAAGTAAGGCATGCTGTTTGTGTTTAGAGCCCTGTGGTCTTCATTATTGCTTTGATTTCTGTCTCTCTTGTAAGAAGTCCAGGAACATTAGGCACAGGTACGTGGTACGTAACTGAACCTTTCTTGATCATTTTATCATGGATGTATTTTAAACTTGTATAGGGATAAGCATGAAGGAGTCATGCATATGTATAAATAATGTATTTGACCAGTGTAAAAATAGTTCTGTTGGTGTATTTGAAATGTAAGTACATTTTGTGCCACTAACACTGTGATGTATAAAAGAGCTGTTGAATGCCTTTTAATGTTGTGTTTTGTACTTTGAATCATATTGAAGAGTTTAATTTGTAATTTCAATAGATATTTTAAATGAATGTGTCTCCTGTGATTCTTCATAGTGACTTTCCAGTGCTTTATGTTCACTAAAGAAAAGTGCTTTTGTTATGGTAGGGCTCCCTGTGCTTAGCTTATCTGCCTCTCCTTCCTTCAGAGCAAGCATAGCCTGTAGCCTGGAGACCTCCTGCCTCACTTCGGGGCATCACTGTGGTTGCTGACTCGTTGTGTCCCAGCTTAGCTGAGTGAATCTGGGTATGTCTAGAGCTCATTCGACTCACAGCTGAGTCTTTGGTCCAGCTCCTGTCGCAGTCCACTGATGTACGCTCTAGCTGGGGGAACGTGCTGCTCCGAGGATCTCTCTGAGCTGTGCGTATATTCTCGCACCATAGGCTTGGGTCTGGTGGAGATGGCTGCGAGTAGCTTGTATTCCCCTCACTTTGGGGTTGGGGAGGTGAAAATTTTAAAGGCAAAGCCTGATCTCCTGAAGAACAGAGCATACTTGACTCTTTCTGGCAGTGGGGGTTTTCTCTCATATTCTTGACTCCAACAGGCACTTTGTATTTTCCCTGAACTGCAGTTTAGGATGCATTCTTTCCTTCAGTCCCCATAGTTTCTTTCTCACTTGTTAGGATGCAGTTTCTCTATACCCATAAAGAAAGCATGGGCATAATTTCTTCAAAATAATGGTTTACATAACTTTGTGCATAACTAATACGCATTGTGTGCTTCATACCTGACAAATTAAGAAAAAACAAGGCCACATAATAGCTGCTACTCAGTCATTCATTTCTTTCATTTTCA